GACGTAATTAATGGACAGCCCCTTATTTATTTAAGTAAGTGTGACTTTCTTTTCTCTATTTTCAATGCTTTACAAAGGTTGATAAAACAAATGAGCTGTATCATTCAAATAATGTATGCTAATTGAACCAGCAAAAAAAGGATAATCACCTTTTTTTTTTTCTAATAAGCTCTCCTTAAACTCTTTTGTCTTCATTTCTGATTATGTACTTAAGGTGTTCATCTGTAAACAGAGAGCTTAAACATAAATTTAATCAAAGTGAATTTCAAAATATTCATTGTCTGATAATCATACTAATAATTTACGATAAAAAGAAGATTTCGTTAGTAATGAGTGTCTTTACATTAAAATGAAGTAGTTTTTATCGCAAATCTAGAAATGGATGAACTCTAATAATATTTTGGTTTATACGGTTTAGTTTATGCTTAAATAATCATCTTCAACATTTAGTCAACATCAGTAGTTTTAATAGTTTTATAATTTGTTATAAGGGTTTTGAGCCTTTGTGATATAATTAATATACCAATGCACAGTGGGCCAGCAGTGAGCAAAATTAAAAAAATGAGCAAAACCAACCTTTAACAATTCAAAAATTTTTAATCTTTTTTGAAAGTGAGTAACCTGAAGAAAATTTAAATGGTTGTAATATTATGTTTTAGTAAATAGAATTATTGTTAAATTGATTTTATAATGCATTTTCTTTAGAATCAAAATGTTGCTTTTTAAATATTATATATATCCGATTCATAAAACTTTATGATAACATAGTAAATTGAAGTTATTATTTATATATATGTAAATGTATTGTAGTTTTGTAATTTAACAATACATGGTAACATATAACTAATTATTTTGCAAAGTTATTTATTTATTTACGAAAGCAGTAACAAATGGGGTCATAAGGAGCTACGTAGCCGAGTAACTAAACGTGTTATTAAATAACATGTAAAAACATGTTGCCAATATCTTTTTTAATTACTTATGGGATGATAACAAAAAAAATTTTATTAAAATTATCTGCCCCTGTGTGCCCCATAATAAGCTGCATGGTAATTTGCGAGCTTCACGTGCTATTTCAAATGTGCTTTTTAACATGGTAGTTTTAATTGCATTTGTATAATAATTCATATAGTATGAGCAGATGCTAAATTTATTTATCACGTATTAGTTTATTACACTCTGAATGAAATGTACATAAATAAAAACTATAGTTAAAGTTTATTTTGACTAACTTTATCACTCATAAATGCATATGATACATGCATGTACGTAAAATGCCAGAGTATGTTCTATACCATTTGTGAATGGTATAATAAGCAGCTGTATCAGAAATTTAGAAAGTTATATAACGTCTTATCGATAACAAATTTATAAAGTAAAGGAGATTGTAAAAGTTGTGCGTATACTGTAATTAGTTTTATGACAAAGAGATTTTGAAAATTACATAATTGCTTGCGCTCCATCTTATTGTTAATGTGTGCAATACTCAATGATGTAATCGTTGTTGTAAGCTCTTGAAAGATGAATGATTAAATAATTTTTATTGTTTATTACGTAAATTTGACTTTAATGTTTATACTGCGTTATATTGATATCGCATTTTAATGATACTAAGCGGTTTATTGAGAACAAGTTTGTATACACGGCATCATTATTGCTTGCTACTATTTGTTGGTTAGTTGTAAATGAAGAATTTTATAGCTTAAAAAGTTGCATCATATAAGTTGAAGGGTAATTATAAAATTTATTTGCAATAAATTATATTGTCTAATTTCTAACTTAAGTTTATTTTAATCAAGAAACTAATAATGGAGAGTAATACAAATCCAAAAGATGAATTGATTCTAAACAACACTCTTTTTGACTTTTTACGGGAATCAGTGAAATATGGAAAGTTAAATGCTTTATTTGATTCACGAAATAAGAAACTTTTGTCTACCTTTCTTGTGTCTAAATACTCCAGTTATGGTATTGACAACAGCATAATTAAGAAGACTATCAATTTATTTTTACTTAATTTAAATACCAAGTGGAAAACAGCATCTAGGACTTTTGATCGTTTTGTTCATCAAAATTCGGTTTGGCTGTTACAACCTGCCATTAAAATGCTTGCTTCAACTTCAGTTACATCTTCTACTTTTAAGCACGAACTTTATAATGAGCCTTTAACTTCCACAAATGTATCATCATCTTCCTCATTTACCTCTAAACGCGGACGTCCAATGATTTCCGAGGATGAAGGAAGTTTATCTACTAAAAAAAGAAGGTCCTTAGAACTTGCTACATCTCATTCAACTGAAGTTCTGCTCAGTGCAGTTAGTGCACGATTAAAGAACGAAGATAAAGTTGCGGAATCAAAAATTATTCAGTCTGTTGCAAAAGGAATTTCTAATTTAAAAGTCACTATGTATATTGCTGATGAAGCTCTGGCTTTGCTATTAGATTGCAACCTCACAAAAAATTCATATCAGCATCTTAGATTGCAAGCTATGTAACATGGCTGCTGTTTATACCCACCTTATAACAGCATACGGGAATCTAAGGAAAAGTGTTTTCCATCTACAAATTCATGGATAATAAGCGATCAGAGAGTCGAAATAAATTTACAAGGTCTAATTGATCACACAGCAACAAGAATTTATCAACTTCAACAACCGGTTCTCGCTACTATTTCAACTATTACAGGTTTAACACTATGTTATAAAATTGGGTTTGATGCTGCCACAGGCCAAAGTATTTTCAAACATCCACTTTCTAACAATAATCTTAATACTAGAAATCTTCAAGCAGAGCAAAGTCTTTTTATAACTTGCATTGTACCATTAGAAATGTATGGATATGATCAAGAAGAAAAAAAAATCATATGGAGAAATTCAAGGTCCTTATCTACCCTGTACTGCCGCCCTGTTAGGTTTTCTTTTGTTACAGAAACGGTAAACCGTTTGAGAGATGAAGTTTTTGTAAACCAATCAAACCCTCAGCCTACAATAATAGAAGACGTTCAAATGAAGCATATTTTGGAAATTACGATGATAGATGGAAAAGTAGCTACAGCCTTATCCGATGTAACATCCTCAAGTCAGTGTTGTTCTCTCTGTGGAGCTGCACCCAAGGAAATGAATTGTATTGATCAAATTGCGTTGAAAGAAGTAAGCCCTAGTTGTTTAAAATATAGCCTCAGTACTTTGCATGCTTGGATACGATTTATGGAATTCATTCTCCATGTTTCATATAAATTGCCATTTTAAAAGTGGCAAGCACGTGCAGCTGAAGATAAAATTGCATTTCAAGGACAAAAGAAAATGATTCAAGATCGCCTAATGAACGAAATTGGCTTGGTTGTTGATTTTCCTAATCCTGGTGGTGCAGGAACTAGTAATACTGGACCTCAAGCAAAGCGGCGGTTTTTTCAAAATGCTGATACTATTTCTCAAATTCTTGATATTGATTTAAATCTATTAAAAAGACTCCATGTTGTTCTTGCCACACTGTCATCTGGACTTCAAATTGATTAAGAAAAATTTAGGATCTATTGCATTGAAACAGCAAAACTATTCTGTATAACTTATCCTTGGTATTATATGCCTCAAAGCGTGCATCGCATTATAATACATTAATATTTAGTAATTGAAAAAATGACTTTGCCAATTGGTATGCTCTCCGAAGAGGCATTAGAAGCCCGACATAAAGACTTTAAAAAATTTCGACAAAGTTTTACACGTAAGTGCTCCCGTTTGAAGACGAATGAAGACTTGATGCGAAGACTTCTCTGCACATCTGATCCAGTTATTAGTTCATTATGCACAAGTTCAACATCTTACAAACGGAAAATTTTGCCGGATGGAATAGTACAGCTCTTAAAACCGTGTGATTCTGAAGTTTTGGATATTTAATAATGAAATACGCAAGTGTGCGCAACTTATTTTTATTAACATTTTTGTAGAATGTTTTACAGGGTGTGCCAGTGAAAGTTAGAACATTTACTAAAATTTTTGTAAATATTTTAATAAAAATTATTTGAGACATGATAAAATTATAAAGCTATGAAGCTGAGATTATAAAGCTATGAAGCAGAGAATATTTGATAATTATGATAGAAATGATTATAAATTACAGTTTTACAAGTTTTTATTTTTTCGTTTTAAAAATGTTCTAAGTTTTACTGGCACACGTGTATATATGTTATTTTAATAGGAATTCATTTCTAATTACTAATATGGTGTTAAAGATTTGTTAGATCCCATTACACTTTATTGATTAGACAAGTATGCGTTTTTGGATATATCTTCTTATTACCTATTTTGGGCTAACCAATTTTAGTCGAGGTATGCTCTAATGCAATAGTAAGATACTTCAATCTGGTATAAAAAAAACTACTTAATAATAGTAGCTGTAACCACACTTTTAAAATATCGTTATTAATTTTCTTTTTTTTTATAAAATAAACCACGTACTTTTGTAGGTACATTATATTTATGTAATTTTCAAACTTTTGTTAATTTTTGATAAAATATTCAAAATTTGCATAACCAATTTAGTATAAATGCAACATTTGATAATGGTAGCTTTAATGCAACTTTACTTTTTGAATTTTATTATTAACCTTTCATTTTTACAGAAGAGCCTCATACTTCAGCACACCCTGTACACGTGATTTTTAGATTTTTGATAATTTTTGATAAGATATTCGAAATTTGCATTGTCAATTTTTTCTCTTTGAAATTATTAATTTTGATCACTTTTTCATGTTTCTGGCCCACTATGCAATGGTATATTCTTCTTTAGACACTTTCCGTATCCAATGAATGACACGTGTTTCGAAGTGGAGTTTCAAAGTAGACTCCTCTATATCTAAAAATAGACCCTTTAGAAGAAAAGTGGAGGGAGAGGGGGAAGGGGCGAAAGTACGTGCCCCTTACCTCCCTTCTCCCCCGTTGTCGCCTTTCTCTTTTATATTTAACCTTAGTTTTTTAGCCTTTACATTAAAAACAACTAAAGTCAACATTTTATTTCACCAATAACCTTAATAATATAGTATTTTAGCATGTCTCGACTTTTTTCCTCTGTTAATTTTTTTGCATTTGGAGAGAGTCTAGCAATCATGTTGTTAAGATAGCATATTTTTGCATTAATTTTAATCTAAAAAAAAATCAAAGTAATAAAAATTAGTATATAAAGTTTGTTAAACAAATGTAAAAAAAAAAAACTCAAGCCATAACAATAGTGTCGTTTTATTTTGTCTTTTTTTTTTGTGTTTTTATTTGTTTATGCATTCTGATTAAAATGACAATGAATTTTTTTCAAGATAATTGATTGAGTTCCAAGTATTTAAAAGAATATAAATATACAGAAAAACAGTTTTAAATGAGGGTCTGGGTTGTGCAATTATATATGTAAAAAAGGATTTCCTAGAAACGACACTATCATTATACAAACTAATGTGACATAGTTGTTAAACTTACCAAAGATATTGAAAACTTCATAAAAAACGTTTTTTTTGGGACATTCTTTCCAGATATAATGACTGATCGCAAATGTCCCATAAAATCCAGAGAAAACAAACATCAAGAAATATTTTTATGGCTAAGCTCTACGGCTTTCTTTGCTAACTGCATCATTTCTAAATAGAACTCATTTATCATATTTTTATCCTTGTATTACTTTTACCAGATTATAAATTTGGTTAAAAAAAACTTTTATATATATATATATATATATATATATATATATATATATATATATATATATATATATATATATATATATATATATATATATATATATATATAACAAAATTTGTTTATACAACAAAAGTTCCATACACTTAATAAGTTACATTAACTATGAGTTTTTTAAACATTTAAGACATAGAATTTCAATAAAAACTAAAATTTAATAAAAATTTTATGAAGTTATTGTAACCATTATTTTATATCTTACACAATTGATAAGAGAAGCAATAGAATACTTTTTATAATAAAAGGAATGAAGCTTTAAGTAAAAAAATAAAGCAATAATAATCTGTAACACATAAATTCGGATGCTAAATAAAAAGTAAACAGTAAAAGGCTTTGTGACTGACAATGCAGCTAATATGAAATCAATGCCACAAGTATCGCCATCTAAAGAAGGTATCTGAATAATAACTTGTGGGTGTGCTGCTTATATGCTAAATCATTTAGCAAATGATCTTAACATTGAAAATGTGAGCAAGCATGTTACACAAATAATAAAATATATACAAAAGAATCATCAAGCTGGAGCAAATTCGATAAAAGCTATTTGTATAGTGTATCTGTTTTAAAAAATGTATCACCAATAGAATGGTGGAAATCTCTATAACCATTGGACTGCAACATCATCATGGATATTGAAGGTTTGTTAAACGCACTAGCTTCTAGCGCTGGACATGAAAGAAGTAAAAAAAGCAGCAAAGCTTGTTTTTATATATAGATCATTAAATAATGAATTACAGCAAAAATCTTAATAGAAAATATAATTTACTCAAGTAAAATCACTAATGCTTTTTTTTTAATTTAAAAAGATGACTCAACACAACTTATTTTTTTTAAAAAAAGTTCAAACTAAAAAAACCATGGTTTTTTTGCTTTTTAAAAAAAAAACCATGGTTTTTGGTTTTTTTCAAAAAAAAAAAAGGCTTATTTGCAACCATGATATTATATCTCCAATAGAATTAAAAATTTTTTTTTCAAAATTTTGGTCTTGTGAAAGTTAAACTTAAGCAATGATTAAGCAATAGATCAAAAATTTCAAGCTGAACATTAAGTCATGAATCTCACAGTCTTTCAGTGACTGTGAAAATCGTGATCTAAATAGACATAAAGTGGCAAAGAAGATCAATTTATTCCTAAATTTATTTCTTTGCCATTAATAAATAAATAACCTTGAAAAGTTAAATCAAGGTCACAGCACAACAACAAGTTGAAACAAGTTAAATCTAGTACATCCAATGTAGGAGTAAGTATGAACTCCATACCTTTTGCTATAAGGTAATCTCTCGATCACATAAAAAATAAAATATACTTAAAATATAGTTTTAAACTATTTGTGGTATAAACAAATGTTTTATGTTATCACTACCTGTGGGTGAAAGTATATAAACTGTAATTTTTGATTATCTTTTTTTTTTTACTTTTATCCACCTGGCCCACTAAGCATTGTTGTTATATACTAATTTAAAAAGATATCTTTGTATTATTGCTAAACTAAAAAGTGTTAGTAGTAGTTGTAGAGATATTAAACATCTGATATCATAGAGATAACATGTGTTTATATCACAAACTTATAAAGTTACTCACTTGAATGTTAAGATTTTTACTGACAGGGTGCCTGTAATAATTTTATTATTCCATTGAAATGATCATCATTATTATTGTCATCATGAATAATTTTATTATTCATGATGATAATGAATAATAAAATTATTCATTATCATCATGATAATAATGATCATTTCAATAGTGGACAAAAAATAGATTTAAGGTATTTCTGTACTAGTTCTGTTTTGGGGTCAACTGCAGTTTTACAGCAAGTGTAAGATAAGGCTTAAGCATGTTCCAGACTAGCAATGATTGCTTTATGAGCATTGCTCAAGAATGTTTACTTCAGACATTTTGCATCCATAATAAGTTGCTTTACTCATCCACACACCCCCAGAATGCCTGTGAAATAAATCATATATAAATTGTGGGCACTAGATATTTTTTGCTTAAATATAAACATTTTTTCCAAGTTATAAGGGTGCTCCAAAAAGTTCTAACAGTCTAGTCACAAAGCAAAGCAAAGCATTTAACAAATAAGTTTAATCTGCTTTCCTTACTGATAATAACTTATATGGCCAGAGCAGGTATTAAATTCCATGATCTAAAGTTTCTAAAAAAACTCTTTACCTGATATTCATAAAAAAGCAACTGTGAAATTAATTTTACTAAATAGATCATAAAATCAAGATGTCAACTTTTTTGAACTGTTTGATTACCTAGAAAATCAAATGCCATTGTTGTCTCTAAGAGAGATCATATAAAAATTCATTTCATAGGTTAAAGGCAAAACAATTAAATGACAAGACTCAATTTGTACAAAATAATTTGCTGTTTTTTCTCCAAAACAAATTATTTTGTACAAATTTTGTTCTATGATTAAAAGTTTAAAAGTTTCAATTTATAAATCAAGAGCATCATCCTGTAGATGTTTTTTATGAAGCAGAAACAATTATTTAAAACTCTTGTCAAAAGTCAAATGCCTTAAAACAAATTCAAATTTGATCGAAATTTTGTACATAATAAATGAGTAAAAAAATGTAACCTGTATAGAGTAATATGTACAGGATTTCATAATATAACTTAAATACTAATTTACTTAAATTGATTTGTTGCGTATTCTGTTGTTTAACAAATTCACAGTTTAAATTGAATTATTAAATCATTTTAATCAAAATTATGTCCTTTAAATGGTTAAAAATCAAAAGAATGTAACTTTTGAAACATTCACAAAACCACATTTTCTAACAATTTAAAAATCTTAGTTAAAAAAATAAATAACAGTGATACACATACAAGGTTGCATTCTAAAGCCAACTTCTAAATAAATCTTAATGCTAACTTCTAAATTGATGAAGAACTATATTTCATATTAAAATTGACAAAAATAACAAATTAAATTTAACATTTATGTTAGAGGAAACCAAGAGGCTTACATTGTTTTTAATAATTTAGACTAACAGTATAGCAAAAAATCTTTCCAAAAACTAGCACCCACAACTCCAGACCCCAGACCCTTGCTTTGTACAACCATTAAACAATATTAATAACATAAATTTATTTTATGTTTTTATAACTTTTTCTCACTTATAAAACATGCTTTTTTGATAAAAAAAGTTATAAAAAATATATATTATACAAGAATAAAAAAAAATTAATTTAAAAACAAAGATTAAAAAAATCAAAAACAAAAATATTAACTAAAACTAAACAATAACTATACCTTGTTTACAGCAACACAGTAAACACAAACACTTAGTAAATGTCAACGCCAACCATTGCCAAAATTTTGAATAAAATAATTTATGCTATTAAATCAAGTTAAGGCTGAGAAGAAACAAAAATACCAATTGTTGTTTGAGCTTATATAGAATATATATGCGCTACAACAACAATTGGTATTGTTGTTATTTCAAAACATTGAACTTTATAAAAATAGCATCATCTTTTATATAACCACCTGAATAGAGATTATCATGACTGCAAAACATACTAAAGCCTACTGGTTGATTCATTGGCAGGTAAGGCTTTTGAAATGATATATGTCCACTAGGTTTTAGTTTCTTTGAATGATTTTGATTGCCTTTTATAACACTAACAAGGGAAATGTCAATATCATATGGAAATGGAAATTTTAACACTTCATCAAAAGGACTAGGTAGAATAGAAATATATACTGATATAAAATTTTGGCTGCATTTATTAAACTTCAAGTCTCCTGCCAACATAACTATAGCACAAAACCTGTAGCCTGAAGGATCAGTCATTAAGGGAGGAGAGAAAAGTTCAATCGTTCGTCCAGCTAAAGCATCTTCTAATTTTTTTGAAAAGTTATCAATTTTCCATAAATAAGACCCATCGTTCGTTACTGAATTAATCAGCAAAATTTTGTATCTAATATCATTTAATCTGGTTTTAATCAATTCATTTTCTTTCTCTGCTCTCGCTACTCTATTTTCGACATCATGAAGATTTTCGGTAAAACATTTTTTATTAAAATAACTCACTAAATATTTTATTTGCTGTTCAATTCGATCTATATCACCAACAAAACTTTGAAATTTTTTTAAGCTATTTTTCTTTTTACTTAAAGCATTGATTTCTGAACTAAGTTTATCAACATTGTAATCATCATCATATTTATAAGAATGCAAGTATTCATATTCTTTTAAATCTGAAATCTTACTTTTTAACAAAATTAAACTTTCACATTCTGATTTAAAGAAAACAGATAACAAAGCTGAATGGTAAACAAGTTCTTGGACTTGATGGTTTGATATTATTTTTTGTGTACCAATAATTTTGCAACTTATTACTTTGTAAGGACATTCTAAGGTTTCAATAAATGAACATATCTTTAAGTGTTCTTCTAACTCATGACAAAAACCATTCCAATAACAACCATCGTTTTTATATAAACAGTAACATGATAAATTTAATATCTCTTTTAATGCTTGATTATCAGGAAAGCAAGATAAAACAGTGTCATTATCTTCTTCACAATAAATACCGCTACTAAAACATGACTCGCAGCTTCTATTTAATATATTAAAAAAAAAAATTATTTAATATGCTAAAAAGTATAAATTACTAATATAAAAACATATTTCTAAATTATATTTAATTTAATAATTTTATCTTACGCATAAAAAAATATTAACACTAATTTATTTTACTTATTGGGATAGACAAAGATATTAGACATAGACATCTATTTTTAGGCAGTATATATAAAGCAAATAATTTTCTATATTTTAGAAAATTATTTGCTTTATATATACTGCCTTTTTCTATTTTACATTACTTTTACTAAAAAAAGTGTCAAAATTCAGAAGATTATTTAAAAAATTTTCTTTT